ACCAACGGTGTCAGAATCTTCCGAATGTGCCGGTGCCGCCGCAGTCTCCGACGAGGTATCCTTTGGGGCGTCGTGGCCAGCAGCAGAAGCCAGCTCCACGACGAAGAAGAGAACCAGAGCAATAGCTAGAATTTTACGTGCCATTTTCGTGAAAAGTTGAAGAGGTTACGATTTTTTATTTATTTATTTTTGTTTGGTTGAATAGAAAATGCAGTGATTCCCTGAGAAAATAAAGAAATACTACAAGGTGGAGAAGATGAAATGGAATGATGGGTATATATATATATAGTGTTCTGTTGGGTAGGGGAAGAGAATGGTTGTTTTAGCGTAGAGTTAGGGGGTGGAGGTCTCTACAATGGTTGAGAAGATAAATAATTTTGGAGGTGGTTATTAATGAAGGGTTATAAAGGATCTATCTTTACTGGTAAACATTTTTTTTTTAATAAATTATAAATACACCTGTCCTTGAGATTTATTTATGGATTGTCTCTTATAATTTAGAAAATTATAAATATTATTTTATTAGAATTTTTTATTTGACAGAATTATTATGAAATTAAAAATTTTAAAAGATGAAATATAATATTTAGAACCACAAACAAATCATATTTTAAACAAATCTTTGAAATTGTATTTATAATGTAATCATCTATTGTTTTTTGTCCGGTGGATATGTTGAACGATCTTTACCACATTGGCAATGTAATGGAAATTAGACTTGTTGAAAAGATAGGATGGGTTCTTTTGTCATTTTAATTATTGTAATTTTAATCTCGAATTTATGATTTTGTTTTAATTTAGTCTAATTAATTATATCTATTATCAATTTTTTTAATAAAAAATACGTACGTGAGAAACACATCACACTCTTTTAAGGTTAAATATATAAACTTGCTTAACTCAATGAACATTTTACGTCAAAAATTTGAACCGCATTATCAATTGAATTAAATTGATACAAAATCTAAAATTAAAAATCAATTGAGTACAATATAAAAATTGCCAGTATAAAATATAACAATAATTCTAAGTAACTCAAAATTTTGTGACTCAAATAACTCAAATCACTCAAAACGACGTCGTTTGTAACTCAAAATTTTGTGACTCAAATAACTCAAATCACTCAAAACGACGTCGTTTTAAGTGTAAATGAGTGTAAAACGACGTCGTTTTGACAGATTTGAACCATTTGAGGCACAAATTTTTGAGCTACTAAACATTTTCTAAAATATAAATGATGTTTGTTATAATTGGTTCATTTAAATTACTCTTTATGAGTTTTTTTTTTTTTTTTTTATAATAATAATAATGACTCAATGTATTTGATTTTGATCGTAAATTATTAAGGTTTATTGTAATATGTAGAGATGGCAATTTACTCCACCCTTGCTCCATCCCTATGTCCCCCATTGCACCCCTATTTTTTCATGTCCCTATAAGATAACGAGAAGGAGATGATGGTATTTACTTCTTAGGCCTCAATTTTTTTTATCATGCCCCGGTTATATATTATATAGTTTTGTAGATATTTATATCTATGTATAATTTAATTTTTAAAGTACAATGAGATTAAGAAAAATGATTCGTATACCTAATTTTTTATTTAATAATTTACACACGCGCACATGCACACCCATGTGAGTGTAAATTAATTATTAAGTAAAAAATTAAATACCTCTAGCATTGCCTTAATATTAAACTACCAAAATATCACCTTCATTATATATTTTTTTGTGTTATCATATGTCTTTTAAATATTATTATTCATCAAGCATTATGAAATATCATATCGTTTCTCTTTAGTATCACTTCCTTCGAGATTGCCAAATCATTCCCTCTGAATTTTCAAATTGTACTACTTCATCACTTTATAAATTAAAATTTCAAATTTTATTCACATACCAAACTTGATATTGAATCTAATTAAAAAATTTAACTCAATATTAAATGAATCAATGGATAAACAAAATTTGAATCTTTAATTTCCAAAAATACCAGGCTGGAACAATCTAAAAGCTCAAAACTCTCCAATCCTCTCCTCGAATGGAGAAAAGCCATTCTATTTTTATAGTCTATGTAACTCAATCTGCATTTGAAAACTGTAGTTTCTTTACCTTAACTAGTTACTAATAACGTTTTGTAAGAAATGAGTTTTCACGATTAGTAACACCTTTTGTTCCCTTAGGATGAGACATGTGACTCACCTATTCGCGAGTTGAAAACACGATTTAACCATCAGCCCAATTTGAATGGTACCCATGTGAGGTGTAGTGTATACCATGCATTGTGGTGCATCAAATGACGGTTTGGGTTGTGTTAATGCAGCTAGCAAGAGTTGTGACTTGTAATACACCCCGAGTTGGCACAAAGATGTATCATAACCTTTGTCACCAGTTTTGGTCAGACGGGGTTGAAGTTAGATGTTGCTTTGGTTTCGGACTAGAAGGCGAAAGATGCAAGAGACAAATAACCATGTAGAATGCATATAAATAACATATTCTTCCATGGGATATACTGAAGATTGTAATGCAACAAAACCATCCTCATGCAACAAACAACCTATTCAAAATCACATTATCAACAGCCTTTATTACATCTAAATGACACATTACCAACAGCTTGAGCATAACAAAAGCATCACCCAACACCACCATAAGCCAAGAACCTTAAATTAAACTTCGAAAAAGTCTAGGCGCACAGAATATGTTCAAACCCGTGTCCCATTATGTGAAATTCTTTGTGTGTGACACAAGTGTCATATTTCAGAACTGTAAATCGAGAAAACACGACACTTTCTAGCCCCTACAGAATACAACATCAAATAAATTCTGCAACTCCAAATCCAAGCACATAAACAGAAGTTACAAGGTGCAAACTGGGATATAAAAGACAACAAAGGTAAAACTGAAAATTATGTCTCAAATAGACACTGGCTTCTGAGATACAATGGAAAATACATGAAACCCTATATACAATAGGTTGACAGCAGCACGTACTCCTCAGAAACACAACATTACAAAACTGGACAATTCTAACCTAGAGAAGTACAAATCTCATAACCAATATAAAACTCATACAAGCTCCTTAATGAACAACTAAATGATAAAAACAACCAGAAGATTTTACCACTTCAATAATAATGATAAAAGAAAATTTCCTGTCAAAGGTTGGGGCCCGGTTGCAGAGTAGCACACCAAAGATGCCAACACACACACCCCAAAAACGAAAAAAGAAAAACGATATGAAAACAAGTCCCGGTCATCTTAGCAGTATGAATCTTTTAGTCATTTAAAAGATAGGCCTATTAAACAAGCTAATGGAAATGATCACGCTATTAGAGAAAGCCTTTATCAACAACACACCTGTGAAAAGGCTTCTATACCAAACCATTTTTAGCATTGCAAAATCTCATATTGCAGTAAATGCATTTGATTGGTTACATTTTATTTTTCGAACTTGCACTTCTCCTACTCATCCAATCACAACAATAACAATAAGATGACTAAACCTTTACGTCTTGAACTTTTATAAGAAAAACCAAATATCAATATCATATACAGACTGAATTGGGCACAGCACTACTAATCATTGGCAAAATTTAAGTGAGTCAGACACAAAAGCTTCCATCTAAACATAGGGACATGGTTAGATACAGCATGCATGTGTCTTGGTGAACTTACCATAATGTGCTGAAGCAACAGGGAGAGTAAGATAATAAAGACATGATTAAGTTTTAACAAGTCCGGTGGCATAAGGACATTTACACAAATTTCTTTGATTTTTGAAGAGAAGGGGAGGGGGGATTCCGTGGGCAAAGAAGCACGGGCACTTCTAAGAAGGTATCATGTCCACACCGACACGACACGACATTCGTCGGACACTTTTCCAACATTTAGACACACATGAGACATATTACAAGTTTAAATAAAACGACACGACATTCGTCGGACACTTTTCCAACATTTAGACAAACATGAGACATATTACAAGTTTAAATAAAACAACAAGGATTTCAACAATAAAACAAAAATAATGTAAATCACTATCTTTATTTAAATATTCATATATATATATATATCTATATATATATTATAAAAAAAATACCAAATAAATAAAATTATATATGTTGCATATGTCCTTCATGTGTTGTGTCTTATATTTTTTGAAAATTTCCGTGTCAGTGTGTCCGTGTCATATCATGTGTCCGTGTATGTGGGTGTTTAGCGTGAGTTAGGACTCGAGAATGTGATGACAACATTGCCATATGGATTACTATTCAAAAGAACTAAGTATCCGCAGATCATAGATGTTAATAACACTGAAAGTTAATGAGGGACAACTAGAAAAACCAATATATATGCATCTATAAATCTTTTATTTCCAAAGAGCCAAAGAGAAGCATATGAAGAATTCGCACAAATGAAAAATATGCAGAAAATGGATCATATTAGCATTAAAAATCTGTCCTGAAGCATTGGGGTTTTCAGTATAATAATGAGAACTGAAAAAATGTCGGATAATTAAACTTTTGCCAAACTAATGGGATTGTTAAAGATCATGATTCCATTAACAAAAGATAAATGCTTCAAATGCGTACATTGATAAATCGAATGACTGCAAATAATAAATGAAAAATGCCCCAGAAGCATGCTAAAGAATGAAAACAATAGCCAGATTACCATAGAGAAAGTTAGACAAACAAATCCAGAAAATTGGAAAAAGACAAAAACAGAAGAACTAGATGGGTCAACCTTGTACAAGAATACCAATATTAAATTAAATTTTGATCAAAAAGTACACCAAAGGGCCAATAAATAAATACAACCCATAGAAGATAATATAACAAAGAATTACCCGTTGCGGTCATAGGATTTCCAAGCATACCAGATTAGATGCAAACCAGTACAAAAGTTAGCCAATGATTGTGAGCTTCCTTGTCAAGCTCCATCAAGAATGAAGCCGCTCCTCATTTCCAACAAAAGGAAGATCAAACATTTACATTGTATGAGAAACTATACATTTCATTTTCCTATTGAATCAAACTGTTACACATGATCTATACAATGAAATCTCCCTCAAGAACAGAGATACAAAAAAACACTGCTCCCAAAGGAAAACCTAAACCTAAAAAAGTAGTAACAACAATAGTATGTACAAGTCCTTCATCAGGACAAAAACAACTCTTCCACTTCCGGCATTAACATAAAGAATCAAGCTACAACTTCTTAACTCCTAAAAAAAACCTACATCTTGTACTTTACATGATTACAGACATAAAACAATCGATGGTTCTTCGTGCTTACAGGAAAGAAAGCTCCATCAACAGACAACAATTTCTTGAGATTTTACAATAACCACTTACAAGTGGAACAGCGACCCATGTTACAAAGTACAAATAGCTAAATCTGACCCCTAATGAAAAGAATCAACATTATCTGATACAACAGATCAAATATGAACAAACATGGGCCTCATAATTTGTACAAGAATTTTACAAAGACACTGACGAGATACAAGTGATCTACAAAGATGGGCCAATTACATGCTGTGAACCTACAACAACAAAATCAGTTCACAGACGAGATAAAAGTGCTCGGCATGCAGACCGGCAGGCATTGTGGTTGCATCCAAGAACTCGACTCCAATATGCTTCACTTATTGATAAGTTCATGAATTGGATACTTTCTAAACGTTTTCTTCCAGAAGCACATTTTCAAAGTTTTGAGGAAGTGCTTGAGGAAAACAAAATGACAAGTAATATGTTCAAGGCTTCTTTGGCATACTAGCAGGCCATGTGATTTTCATAGAAATCCAGGAAAAGCAGCCAACTTAAACCATCTTCCTTGAGATAACCAACATAGGCTGATTCAATCACAAAAACAGGTAGTTGCCAACTCGCTCCCTGAATATGATGATAAGAAAAATCCCCATGTCAAAAGTCATAACTTATTAAGAAAGACTGCCCAATATGCCACACCATAATCTATATCAACACTGATTATCATGGATAGAATATTAAAAAGAGCATTGAATCACGAATTGACATCAAGCTCTATATCAAACTCTTTATCAATATAACAACCATTTTACTCGGTTAAACACCTAAGAGTTCATATTTTGATTTCAATCCTTCAATCAAAAGGCAGCATCGTGTACATAACTTCTAGAAGATATGAGGACATGATATATCAACTCGACACATTCTGGTTAACTCTAAAGTTGGTTTTTCTAAGATATTTAATATAAACTACCAAGCTAAAATGCCCAAGAGATAGGCATGTATATCCCTCGGTAGAGAAGAATCCAAATGATGCCAATGTCAGACATGATAAGTTCCAATCAACTAGAACTGAACTTCAAAAACTAACTGGACATTCATATAATCTTGACTTCCAACCAAACCATTCTTTTGAGCTTCCCTTTCCCCATGTATGTCTGTAAAATCTATATACATGTACACATGTACATGTGTGCCTATATGTGCACATATATCAGTCAGTTTGTGTCTATCACTGCTCACATATACACAGGGGCATGGACAGCAATATATACTCCAAGTGCCCACTAATACCATCAGTGGTTTTGCCACACCTTAAGCAACCATCTCAATTCACACACCTGTTGTTCATTATCAATAAGGGGTAGTCTCAGGTTTCTCTTTTTACCCATAGAGAATTTGAATATATACTCCAAGTGCTCACTAACACCATCAGTGATTTTGCCACACCTTAAGCAACCATCTCAATTCACACACCTGTTCTTCATTATCAATAAGGGGTAGTCTCAGATTTCTCTTTATCTTTTTACCCATACAGAATTTGAAGATTCTCAGACGGTTTAACCTCAATCACACAAGGGATCAGCTACCAAACTCAAGAAAAGCAATTCCCATCCAGGCAAAGAATGTTTGGGAGCAGGAAAGATAGAAAATGTTCTACATTCTGCGGTTGATAATCTTGACCTATTACACCTAGGAAGAAAACAGTACATATTTTAGGTGCAATTGAGGAGCTCAAGACTTCTAAAGCAGGTAGAGGGAAATGAGAATATTTTAGACTAACATGATGAGGATTACTTCTTTCTTTCCTTTTTTTTAAAGAGACTAATATGTGGAGGATGAATTTTATCTATATCAATGGAACCACTGACAGGTTGAATAACCATTCATGCATCAATGACCAGTTGCAAAAAAGGACAGAAGGGCACAAAACAGGCAATAAAAGCACAAAATACTTTAGCTTTTGTCACATTGGCCCCAAGAAGTAAATACATAAATAACACCAATAGCACTTAGGTTGCATTCAGATTAACAGATTTGAAATGAAGGGATTTAGGATAAACTTGAAGAGGATGGAGCAATTAAGTTGTATTGAGAGATTTGAGGGAAATGCTAAAAGCGAGGCATGAGAGATGCATCCTAACTAAAACACACGTGCACTTCAAATCCTTAGTAGGATGGATTTCTTTCTCTTTTTCTTTTTCTTTTTCTTTTTCTTCTTGTAATCTAATTATTTCAAAATTATGATTTAGGCTTTTAAACTCAAGGTATATAGCTTCAAAATCCACTTATAGCTTGTTTGAATATATGCTTATGTAGCAAACCTTTAAAATTAACTATAATCCACACATTTGAAATTCACTAATCCAAATGCAACATTGACTTCTAATACCAAACATATGATGTTTCCTTCCAATATGTTCACATCAAGCAATGGTGCATCTAACTACCTACCTAACAGCACTGTCAATTTACATTTCACCTTTCTGCACACCAAAAATGCCATATAAAGCATGTTTCAAAAAACAAAGGGTTAAGAACAAGACAAAAAAAGCTCCGTATACTGAGTTTGCAAACTCAATGCGCAACTATAAATAGGTTTACACATGCATGAACAGTAGACATGTCTTAGTCTTGTATAACTCATATTATGTAATTTATATGAGCAACTTTTGAAGTGCAAAAATACACAACAGTCATGACAAAGTCATGAAAGGTCATAAAAGGTGAATAATCCTAATTTGTAGTCAAATCCAAATAACAAAACTACTGTGATTTTATAGTCAGAAACCAAAGGAACAATATATTTCCTCTTAGCTGTTCTAACAGGATTTATTCATATCCACCAAGACAAGTCTTAGAAAGCTAGAACCCACCCAAAGATGCATATAAGCATTCTATGAATACAAAATTGAGGGAAATGCTAAAAGCGAGGCATGAGAGATGCATCCTAACTAAAATACACGTGCACTTCAAATCCTTAGTAGGATGGATTTCTTTCTCTTTTTCTTTTTCTTTTTCTTTTTCTTCTTGTAATCTAATTATTTCAAAATTATGATTTAGGCTTTTAAACTCAAGGTATATAGCTTCAAAATCCACTTATAGCTTGTTTGAATATATGCTTATGTAGCAAACCTTTAAAATTAACTACAATCCACACATTTGAAATTCACTAATCCAAATGCAACATTGACTTCTAATACCAAACATATGATGTTTCCTTCCTATATGTTCACATCAAGCAATGGTGTATCTAACTACCTACCTAACAGCACTGTCAATTTACATTTCACCTTTTTGCACACCAAAAATGCCACATAAAAGCATGTTTCAAAAAACAAAAGGTTAAGAACAAGACAAAAAAAGCTCCGTATACTGAGTTTGCAAGCTCGATGCACAACTATAAATAGGTTTACACATGCATAAACAGTAGACATGTCTAAGTCTTGTATGACTCATATTATGTAATTTATATGAGTAACTTTTGAAGTGCAAAAATACACAACAGTCATGACAAAGTCATGAAAGGTCATAAAAGGTGAATAATCCTAATTTGTAGTCAAATCCAAATAACAAAACTACTGTGATTTTATAGTCAGAAACCAAAGGAACAATATATTTCCTCTTGGCTGTTCTAACAGGATTTATTCATATCCACCAAGACAAGTCTTAGAAAGCTAGAACCCACCCAAAGATGCATATAAGCATTCTATGAATACAAAATTGAAAAGATAAACCTAATTCTTCAAAACACACATTATCTTCTAACAAACACCAGAACGGAAGGAAACACAATCATTTGGCCATAACTGATGCCAATTGCACATAAAGAACTTAATTAGATAACTTGCCAAATATCTATATACAAAATTCTACCATTGAAGTATGTCAGAAGTAGAAAGGAAACTGCAATAATCATGATGGGATAATACAGTTCTATCCATCTAGTGGTTAAAGGCTTCACCAAGAAAAAAGACAACCAACTCACAAAATCATATAGAATAGCAAAAAGTTTCAAGTATCTCAAGGTTGCATGCCCTAAGAAGTAGTAGTCTTGAAAAAGGAGGATTAGTAAAACAAACATGGAACCAATGGGATGGCTGTTAGCTGGGCATTAACAGTCCAACCCCTAAAAGGCAAATCCACAATTGTAAGCTACTTCAAATCTATTAAGTTTTTTTATGCAAGTGTTGCATCAAATTAGGTTTTGTAGGTAAAAGCAAAGAGGAAGATATATTTTTCCTTCCTACCCACACATAAACAGAACTTACTTTTTCAGTTCAGAAGCTAAACTGCATGTACACCAGAAAGAACAGAGGTAGATGCATTCTAGCAATCCGTTGATGAGACATGATGATTTGAAAATGCTAAGGTCAAGGTCTCATAGGACCCTTATATGGAGAATTAAAAGCTTGATTATGTCACTCTGATGGCAGGCGTCTGCGCTTCCCATAATCCACATCCCTTGATCTCCTGTGATCCTCTTCTGGCATCGCTTTGGACCGGCTCCGAGATCTTGAAGAAGACTGTCCTCTATCCCAGTCATCCTCATAGCCCAAGTCTTGTTCTCTTTGCCGAGGGTTTCGGTAACCATCCTTCTCCTCCCTGTACCTGTGTTCCCTATCAGATCTGTCCCTTTCCACCTCCCTCTCATCACGATGCCTTTTCTCAGAGTTTCCTGACCAATCACGTTCAGAACCCCATTCCTTCTCCCGGGAAGCAGCATTTGATCTTACTCCTTTTTCGTGGCTTGCCTCTCCATATCCATATTCAGAAGCACCATCTTCACCACCATAGCTCGATTCTCTTGTCCTCCGGCCATGTTCTTCCCCTCCCCATCCACCCATGCTCGTGTCTGTCCACATTCCTGCATGATGTCCATCCATCCCAGTGGGCCCCATCATTCCCATTCCATTAGCTGCCATTCCTCTGCCAAAGAATGCAGGGTTCACATGAGGAGCCACCCCAGCAAGTCCCATTGCATTAACAGCTGGAAATGAAGGAAGCATCCCAGGGAAAGGGGGACCCGAAAACCCTCCATAGCCAGCTCCTCTACCCATATAAGTTGGGTCAAATCCAGCACCCATCATACCCTGAGGATGCATCAAACCACCAGGAGGACCACCAAAAGCAGGACCCGCAAGGCCTTGCCCATACCCTCCTCCACTACCACCAATTCCGACACCAGAAGTGCTTCCAATCATATTCTTTGCCCCCATAGGCCCTCCTCTTCCCCTCATAGGTCCACCCCCAGGGCCTCTATTATTGAGTATTCCCTGCCCACCTCGTCCCCCCCACCCACCTCTTCCATAATTCCTCCCTCCATCTCCACTAGGTTGATTCATCCCACCACCTCTCCCCACCCCATCATTCATAGGCCTCCTTCCCTGTGTCTGAGACTGAGGCTGGACTTGGTTTTTGTTCATATAAGAAGAAGCCATCTGCTTTATGGTTTGTGGAGAAGCAAAGGCCACTACACAAGCTCGCCCATTAAAAATATGACCATTCATTCCTTCTTTGCACGCAGCTGCAGCAATTGCATCATAAAATTCAACTTGACAATAGCCTTTTGATTTTCCACTAGCTCTCTCATCAAAGAACTTAATCTCCTTGACCCTCCCATATTGGGATAGCACACTCTCAATCTCCGCATCAGTAGTCCACCAATGCAGTTCTCCCACAAAGATCATGGTTCCGCCATTCTCCAAAGCAGGCCGAATCAGATTTTCATTAACCATTGGACGGTTCACATTTGCATTTGCATTTGCATTTACATTCATACCCATCTGATTAGCTGATATCTGTGGAACACTTCTAGGGCCGCCTGTACCAGAGTTCAGCAGCGAAGCAGACTCAGCGGCCAACTTTACTGACATTTTAGTAGAATCAACCCCAATTTTCTGAGGCATTGGAGTTGATCCTTGAAAGCCCAAATTTGCAGGTTGAGTATCATGAGTCATCCCGTGAACCCTTCCCGTTTGCGCAATATCAGTAGTTCCTAGTTGTTCCCTATCAGCTGTCAACCCATCCTTCGGCTCAGTAAAATGGATCCCAGAATTCGAGTACTTCCCTTCAGTTGCAACCCCGTGGACGCTTAGCTGTTGTGCCCCTGCAGCTTCAGCTCTAGGTTCAGGAAGATTAGTTTTCTGTGCTTGAAATCCCCCATTACCCACACCAGGAGATGGCACTGGTGCCTCTGAACGCTGCAGCTGCAAGAAACCTTCTCCAACATTAACATCATTATATAGATCATCATATTCATCATCTTCACCTATTATATCATCTGCAAGAGCAGAAATCGCTCCACCTCCCTGATACTGCATCTTTTGAGCCCCTACAAATTCCTCATCTCCATAATCTAATTGCTCTTCAGCTGTCGGATCCATTTAAGCTAACTCAAAAATAATCAAGAGTACCTATTATTTCTCCACCTATTTGAAAACAATAAAATAGTTATTACATTTGTCTCTTACTTGGCATAAACAGGAAGCAAAGAAGACAGATCCCTAAAACATGACCCCTAAATTCACCCCTAATGATGCGGCATGAGTTTGAGTCTTAGGCGGTTGATTTTTAAACAGATCAATAACTGATGGAGATAAAAAAACACTCCCTGATACAGTCTCAAGTTTTTTTCCAACAGAAATATAGAGATCAAAAACACTCGCAAGCTTAATGAGTGATGAGAATTGAACAGAGCACAACATAAGAAAATTAATAGTCATAATAGATCAATAAATAACAGAACTAGAAAATTTTATATGTATACATACACACAAGCACATTAACTGTGAAATCTTAATCATCCTAAAACAAAAGAACCATAGAGATCTTTAAATAAGAAATAGAGATCTAAACCCACATATGCAGCCAACCTTATATTTTCATATACCCATCTGATGACGATAATATTTACAGTCACAGTTGATAAATTATCAAATGTCCACTTCAAAAAAATCACCAAAAACAGACAAATTTCAAATACCCACCATGTAATTTCTCAAAATATTGATAAATCGCAAACACCCGCTAGAGGGTAACATCGAATATATGGCATAAAAATATCAAAGTCAAAGCACAACCCAACAAATCGGAATATAAATGACCAAAATCAGCTAAAAACAATCGAATCGCAGTTTGATTTCGTTCTTACCAATTCATGCGACCATCATAAATTGACTGAAAAGAGAATTCCTTTTTCTTTTCTTTTCTTTTTTCTTTTGTTTTGTGCGATTTGTGTAGGGAGATTAAATATCGGGTTAGAGCTTCGCTTACTCTTCTTCTTCTTCTTTTGTCTTTAGGCTCTGAGCTGCGAGGTCAGACAAACACGCATATGGCCTCTCCTCTGTCTCTCTCTCTCTTCTTTGTGATGTATTCTACTGTGGTGTCGGAGCTTTCTTCCCATTATAATATGATCATTAATTCTAAAGCAATAAAATAAAAGATAAATTATAAATATATTTATTTAAAATACGAATTGTTTTTTATAATTTAAAAAATTAAAAATACTTTTTTGTAAAAAATATTTATTTAATAAAATTCATAACTGTTCTTTTGTATAATAATAAAATTAATTGAATTATTAATTAAAATATATTTCTGATAATATTAAAAATTGTTAATTGAATTGATAATTTATTGAAAAAATAAACCTTTTGTCATGAAATTAAAAATTTCAGAGGACAAGATGTAATTTTTTAAACTATAGGAGCAATATGCATTTTAAATAAATTTTATAAATGTATTTGTAATTTACTCAATAAAAATAAAAATTAAGAAAAGGAAGATCAAGAATTGCCTTTAATTTATTAATTTTTCAACGGTGAATATAAATTTATAACGCTATTTTAATCATATTTTATGCATATTTTAATTAGAAAGTCATGTTCAGAAAAATTATCTCATAATTTTATACAAATTGTAATTTTGCAAGGAGATTGAATTGGTGTTGTGTGATTTCATGTATAGAATAAATTTAAATCACCGATGATGAATAAAATTTTTAGGTAAAAAATATGAGTTTATAGTATTATTGTATTTTAGTTGATAATGCCCAAAACTGATACGATTTGATGAGAAATGATAGAATGAGGAGAGAAAAAATATATATTTGATTTATAAGTTAAATGATAAATGATAAGAAATTGAGAACGAAATCTCTTATTTTATATATGTATATGTATATATATATATATTTTTATCAAAATTGGTGTGAGAAATAAATTGATCAACTGTTTATTTTTTATAATACTCAAATTGTCCATTGAAATATTTAAAAATACAAGAAAATCTCATTCATATACCTATATCACATATTTTACTCTTACTAATTCAAAAATGATATAAAGAAAATACAATCTTGTTTGTTTCCACATTTCAAAAAATACTTTTCGAAAAATTTTACTTTCTTATTTTTCGTTTTTTTGTTTTTACTGAATTTTTTAAATATTTTAAGCAATTTTTTTACTTTTTAGACACACCTAACATAAATACACTTAAAAAGTAAAAAAAAATTATAAAAAAAATCTTTTAAAAATTCACTAAATACGAAAAATATAAAAAAAAATATAAGAATTCAGTACATTTTTTGTATTTTTATGTATTTATTAATTTTTTAAAATATTTTTTCATAAATTTTTTACTTTTTAGATACGTCTAAGTAAAGTGCATCTAAAAAAGTAAAAAAATGTTTAAAATTTAAAAAATATTCACTAAAAACAAAAAAAATACGAAAATAAAAAAAATCAGTTTTCAAAAAACTTAATCCAGAAAACTCAAACCAAACACACTTTATTTTTTTTTTTTCATCTAAAGATATTACAACCAATTATTTTTTGTTTTTTATTTTTTATTTTTACGTTCTCAAAAAGAATTGGGAGAGGGTTTAAGTGGATTAATTAACAAAATTAGTTGGGTCAATTCAAGAACATATTTTAATGCAAAATAAACGGAGTCTAATCCTTTTGAGTAGGCCTTAGATAAGCTATAGGCCAATCCACATTTTGGCTCTTACTTGATCAAGCCATTTGGGCCTTGAATTGACCCAACTAATTTTGTTAATTAATCCACTTAAACCCTCTCCCAATCATGCCTGAAGCTAGCTCCGACAACAACACCGATCATCAAGACCCCTTGACCCTGGTGATTACGTCAGAAGAGGAAGACCACCTCATAAGAAGTACCAAAAAAATCAAAAGTTCAACCTCCACTATGGATCAACCCATGGAAAATGAGGTAGCTATGGAGACTGAAAGGATAGAGGAAAGTCCCCCACCCAAATCTTTCAAGGAAGCACTGACCTCCACTTCCAATGGCGATTATCTCTTTGATAGCAGAGTAGAAATCCTCTCCTCGGATGAGAATGATGACAACCAGGAGCCTCACTCTCATATTCAAACCACTCTGCCAAATCATATGGGACCCCACGTATCTCACTGCCAAAAAAACTTCTAGAGAAGATTAGAAAGCCGTGGGTTAATACTTTGATTGTTCGATTATTGGGCAAAAGTATTAGGTATAAAATGCTTTGTGCCAAAGTCAAGACTATGTGGAGACTGCAAGGGGAATTTAATGCCATTGACCTTGGCTACAATTATTTCCTCTTTAAATTCTCTGACCCCTCCAACTGTGAAACTGTCTTCACGGGGAGCCCATGGGTGATTATGGATCACTACCTCACCGTCAGACGATGGGAACCAAATTTTAAACCATCGGAAGCTTTTGAAACCATAACCGCAGTCTAGGTTCGGTTTCCCGAGCTTCCGATAGAGTATTACCAGGAGAAAGTCTTATTCGCTATTGCCAAAACCATTGGCAGACCTCTAAAAATTGACTAGACCACGGCAATGGCTACTCGGGGAAAATTTGCTCGAGTGTGTGTGGAAATGGATTTGAGCAGGCCCCTGAAACCCAGATTCTTACTTGAGGGCAACTGTTACACCATTGAGTATGAATCCCTCCATTCCTTTTGCTTCTTATGTGGACAAGTAGACCATCGAAAAGAAGCATGCAGATTCAAGACCAACAATGCTCCACCGGAGGGGAAAAATCCAGCCACTACATCAGAAACTAACGGCTACCTGCAACAAGAGGTAGATAATGCAGAGGCTTTTGGCCCATGGATGTTAGTTACTAAAAGAAATAGAAGGCCAGTCCATAACAAAAGGGCCCAAGACCCTCATGACCCAACCTATCGAAATAAATTTAAAAGCCTCGAAGAGGGCCCAGATGGCCAAGCCAGCCACCACAGGAGAAAGAAAAATATCCCAGTAGGTCATGACATCGCCCAACAAGAGCCCAACATACATATCGGATCAAACCAACCCAATGAACCTAAAGGCAAAGGCAAAGGCAAAGGTAGGGCACACCATCTCCCTTCCACAGATTCAGATAACCATAATACAATTCAGAGACAATCCAGCTGGAAGCTATCTGAGAAAGGTACATCATCACACCATAGAGATCAGACTGCAATAGCTACTGAATTGATTCCTTCAGTAGTGTACACTCAACCCCCGAATGACCTAACTATGGTTGATATTAACCTACCCCAGTCAACTAGGGTGCTCTCACCTCTTATCAACACACCAGCTCTCAATCCCTCCGTTCCCTCATCTCACAACAGAGAGCCACCTGATCCAGGAGATCCTATCCATGGCGACGGAAGGCAGCCCGACTGCAGATTACCGACAAATGAAAGCGGTAAAGCACCTCAACCAGACCAGCTCTCTGAACCTATTGTTAGATCCAGAGACAGAAGCAACTCACCTCGTCACTTTCGTATGGTAGATCGAACAAATATGAATGACAGCAGAGCTAAGCTGGGAGGACAGGAAACTGAAGCCTTTCCACTCGTTTCAAATGGCCTCCATGAGGGCAGAGGCAGACGACCGTCGGAGGATCCGCAGCATCATTAAGGACCTGGTAACCGACTCTCCCTTAACTCTCCCATCCATGGATTTGCTCCGTTTACTTTTCTGGAATTGCCGCGGTGCCGGAAATAATACCTTTAAACGCATTTAACTGAGCTTGTTCGAACTCACAAACTTGAAATTATCATTCTCCTGGAAACAAAAGTGACTTTTAGCAAAATAGGAAATTTTTTCAACCAACTGGGATTCACCGCATCCACTGTAGTTGATCCAGTAAGAAGAATGGAAGGAATTTGGATAGTTTGGGATCCCACCCAAGTCAATGTTCGAGCTTCTTCTGCTAACTCTCAAGCTATTCACACTACCATTCATAAAGAAGATTTTGAAGAGTGGGTCCTTGCAGCAGTCTATGCCAGCCATAACCCTGTTTTAAGGGAAAACCTGTCGAAGGACCTGGAGGCAGTGGCTAGGGATATGGAGAAACCATGGTTGGTAGCTAGTGATTTCAACGACTATGCTAACCAAGGGGAAAGACGGAGCTACACCGCTTCCCACAACTCTGTTCGTTACCAAAAGTTCCTGGACAGGGTCAATAATTGCAACCTGATCGACCTTGGGAGTTTGGGCCCCAGAATGACATGGACGAACAACAAGCATAGCCTGGCCAACACTATGGAGAGGTTGGATAGGGTTATGTGTAACTCAGATTAGCGAACCATGTTCATAGAAGCCACAGTCAGGGTTCTTCCACGAACCTACTCTGACCACTCACCATTGATACTCTACACCCAAGGTTTGCATTCCCCTACCCCCCTTCATAGGCCCTTTAGATTCCAAGCAGCTTGGATGACCCACCTAGGCCTTATTGATGTTATCACCTCCTCCTGTAATGATATGAAAAATAGTCTCATTGATTCTACTGATGAGTTCACCCGTAGGGTAAAAGAGTGGAATAAAAAAGTTTTCGGAAATATTTTTAAAAGAAAATGACATCTCCTTGCTCTCATTGAGGGCATCCAGCGCTCCTTTGCTATTAATTTTTCTCATAACTTGATTTTGCTGGAAAAGGATCTTATTAAATCTTATAATACTACTCTATTCCAGGAGGAGGTGTTATGGTTCCAAAAATCTAGATCTAAATCTATAACTCTTGGTGATAAGAATACTAAATACTTCCATGTGTCTACTATCACCAAGAGAAGGAAACTCAAAATCAATGCTCTTAAAGATTCGTCAGGTGTTTGGACGTCTAAGGCTGATAGTCTTAAGCATATTATCCTGGATTATTTTCATAACCTCTTTGACAGTGAGCCCATTAATCACCTTGAGCATTGGTATAATCTAGCTCCAACTCAATTCACCCTGGATGATAATACAGCTTTGCTCAGACCTCTCTGTAACTCGGAAATCCTTGGGACTATGAAAAGCATTGGTGCCTTCAAAGCTCCTGGAAAGGATGGTATGGAGGCTATTTTTTATCAAAAATATTGGAGTACCATTGGCCCCTCTGTGTGTGATTTTGTCCAAACCTGCTTTATGAATTATAATGTCCCTGCGTCTATAAATGAAACCCTTATTGTTTTGATCCCTAAAGTTGAAAACCCCGAAACCATTAAGCAATTTAGACCCATCAGCCTCTGCAATGTAAGTTACAAAATCATCACCAAGCTCATAGTGGGTAGAATTAGACCCCTTCTTGATATTTTGATTAGCCCTAACCAAAGTAGTTTCATCCCTGGTAGAAACACCACTGATAATATTATCATCACTTAGGAGATTCTCCATACGTTGAGACATAAAAAAGGCAAGAGATGTGGTATGGTGTTTAAAATTGATCTTGAAAAGGCCTATGATAGACTTTCCTGGGACTTCATTAGAGAAACCCTCATTGAATTCAAGCTTAATGACAATTGAATTAATCTAATCATGAGTTATGTCTCTAACAATCACTCCTCCATCCTCTGGAATGGAGAAGTCTTAGATGGTATCCAGAACAAAAGGGTTCTCAGACAAGGAGACCCTCTTTCACCCTACCTTTTTGTGCTTTGTATGGAAAGACTGTCTAATATGATTAATTACAAAGTCCAAAAGGGATCCTGGAAAGGTCTCAAGGCCTCTGCTAAAAGCCCTCCATTCTCTCACTTGTTTTTTTTTGCTGATGACCTTATGCTCTTTGCTCATGCTGATCATAAAAATTGTGATACCATTATGGAGGTCGTTTCAAAATTTTGTGATATCTCTGGCCAAAAAATTAACTACCTCAAATCAAAACTTTTTGTCTCTCCCAACATTCATAATAATCTTGCTACATCCCTTAGCTCTCACTGTGGCATTCCTCTTACCCAGGATCTTGGCAAGTACCTAGGTTCCCCTCTGCTTCACTGTAGAATCTCCAAGAATATTTTAATGATATCCTCACCAAAATAAAAACTCGTCTAACGGGTTGGAAAACTAAGTCGCTTAACTTGGCTGGTAGAATAACCCTTATTCAATCTGTTACCTCAGCCATTCCCACTTATAATATGCAAACCATGGAGCTCCCTAGAAAGATTTGTGACGAGATTGACAAAATCAACCGTAATTTCCTTTGGGGTGATTCTGAGACTCATAAGAAAATTCATTTGGTCAATTGGGACAATGTGTGTAGAAGTAAATCAGAGGGAGGTTTAGGTATCAAGAAAGCTAGATTTCAAAATGCTGCTTTGTTAACTAAACTGGGATGGAAATTCCTGACTAAGGGCAATAGACTTTGGTGTACTGTGCTCCACTCTAAATACTTAAGTCATCAGAGTCTTTACTCTTGGCCTTTAAAGAAAAGATCCTCTCACATCTGGAGGAGCATGTGTAAGTACAGAGATGTCCTGAAAAAAGGGATTAAATGGACAGTAGGTAGTGGGAAGGACATATCTCTTTGGACTGATTGGTGGTGTGGGCAACTTCTCCTATCTCAGCTGAATATTTCTTATCCAGCTAATGAATTTGACAAGGTTAGTTTACTCATGGATGAAACAGGCAGGTGGAATTTAGCCCAGATTGCACTTCTGATTCGCTAGCAGGACCTTCAACTTATCCTCGGTATCCCTAGGCCCTCCTTTGTATGTTGTTCTGATACTCCTACTTGGGCTGCTTCATCTTATGGTGGTTTTACTACTACTTCTGCTTATAAATTAATTTCCAATGATTCCTCTACTCTGACTGACAGGGGCTGGAAATGGATGTGGAAACTCAAAATTCCCCAAAAACTTAAGTATTTCCTGTGGCTTGTTTTAAAAGGGAGACTTCTAACTAATCAATTGAGACTTGTGAGAAATCTATCCCAAACTGACCTTTGCCCGAGATGTGGTCAGTCCAGTGAAGACACCAACCACCTGTTGCGCAGCTGCCCCATGTCCAAAATCATATGGATTCACCTCCAAAACACTAAGTGGTGGGCTGAGGGAATTGATAAGCCTCTTGAGGAATGGGTTACTTGTCATTTTAAAAGTAAAATCCAATTCCAAGGTCATAGATGGTCCATTGTATTTATTGTTGCCCTTTGGCAAATTTGGAAGGATCGAAACTTAGTTGTTTTTGAAAATTAAAGTAACCCTTACCTTAATAGTCTCAAGAAGATCACAGATCTTGTGACTGAAATTGAAGAGGCTTTTCAATCCCTTCTTCACCCACATTTCTCTCCTCCTAGACTGATTCATTGGCTTCATCCTCTTGCAGGTAAATTAAAATTGAATGTTGATGGGTGCTCCAAAGGAGATCCCGACTAAGCAGGCTATGGTGGACTATTGTGGGATGAGACAGGAAGCTGGGTATGGGGATACTATGGCAAGCTAGGCCACTGCTCTAATTTGGAGGCTGAATTATGGGCCATCTACAGAGGCCTTACCATTCTCTTCCAAAAAGGCACCAACGAGGTGGAGATTGAAACCGATTAGAAGCAAGCCATCAACCAACTTCAAGAAGGCCCGACTCCACACTCTCCTTACAAGGCACTCATTGAAGATGCCAAGTTCTTACTGGTTCGCTGCAATTGCTCCCTTGGACATACTCTGCGAGAAGGCAACAGAGTGGCAGATAGATTAGCCAACCTGGGAGTTGCCCAAGATGAACACCTTGTTTTCCTTGAATCACCACCAGCAGAAACTTGTTCCCTGCTTATAGAAAACATGATTGGTTGTAGTGTGCTGAGAGACTAGTATCTCTCGGCTTGTTTCTGGGACTTATTTCCTGTGTTTGCTTTTATTTCCTATGAATCAAAAAAAAAGTGAGCAAAATCTTTTTGTTAAAAAAAAAATTTAATAAAAGATCCAAAATGACTTGCATCAAAAGCTACCACCATCTCATTTTATGTATGATATGTACAATTTAAGGATAAGCATTGTATTGCTAGCATTGTAAATTGTTCTACAGGATCATGATATTTTTTAATCTCTTGTATAATTATATTTAATTTATTAAAAAGTATGTAAAATATAATTTTAAATTTAATAAAGTTTTGTTTTTACTTTTAATTGAACTTAATATATTTTTTGTCTATTATTTAAATTAATCTAGTAAAAAAATATAATTTTTATAAATTAAGAAAATAAAACTAAGTTGAAATCAAATATTTTTGTAAATAATTTCATTTAATGAAGATTAGTTTCATTAAATTTAACTTGTGAATAAATTTTTAATTTTTTTTTCATATATTTGTTATTTTTAGTTGGTAGTGATATTTTTTGATATAACACGACATGAACCGGATATTGACCATAAATGACACGACATCATACAAAATAATAAACGGACCGAGTTAGTGTTGAGATAATTTTAATACAAACCCAAGATGACACGACACGAATATGACCCAATACAACACGATGCCCACCCTTACCTGACACCACAAAGGATGGTATAGTTAATAATTGAACATTTCTTAGATCTCATTTAAAAACTCATGCTTTTAGTAAAAAAAGCCACTACAAAAAGTAACTCATTATCTCTATTTTTTTTTTTGCATATTTTTTTATAAAAAATTAAAAAATCATTAAAAAAGTCAATTCTCAAAAGGCCTTTAGGTCTCATTTGGCAAGTGTCTGTTTTAGCCTAAAAGCTAAAAAGGTATTAAAAAAAAATCAAAAAACCTACAATTTTTATTCTACGAACCTATGCACAATAACTAGTGTACTAGACAACAATTGGTTTTTCGCTTCACACCTTTTCGTGTACTTGGCAGCCATCAAAAATTGTTCACTGTGATTGTGTGGAAAAAAATTATTGCGAGTCATGGGTGTATTTGGTTTGTGTTTTTAAACAATTTTTTTTTAAAAAAATATATATAGAGAGAGAGTTTAAATTTTTTTATGATTTATTCGGTTGTATATTTTGAAAATAATTTTGAAATTTGGGAGTTTGAGATGATTGATATTTTGTTATGAGAAATGTTTCGTAACTCGAAACACTTTTGCCCCGTATGGCTCGACTGCCCAAAACGACGTCGTTTTGGGCAGTTTTTTTTTTCCTTTTTTTATATCTGAAACAGGGAAGGGAGAGAGAGAGAGAGAGAGAGAGAGTGAGAGAAAGAGAGATGACAAAAGAAAGAGAGGGAGGGCGAACACGCACACACACACACACAGAGAGAGAGAGAGCTAGTGATGGTGATGGTGATGGTGATGGCGATGGCGATAGGCGACGGTGCGACAGTGATGGGCGACGGACGTCGATAGGTGACGGTGCGACGATGATAGGCGACGGTGTGAGACGGTGATGAGTAACGGTGTAGATCAGTGTTTGGTTTTTTTTTTTTTTCTTTTTTTTTTTTTTTTTGATTTTGAAAATCTGTGTTTGATGATGATGATGTTGTGTGTTGTTGTGGTAGATCTGTGTTTGGTTTTTTTTTATTATTTTGATTTTGAAAATCTGTGTTTGATAATGATGATGTTGTGTGTTGTTGTGGTTATTGTTGATGATGATTTGAACAGTCTGATTGGTTTTGGTTGTTGATGATGATGTCTAATTGGTTTTGATTTTGGTTTTGGTTGTTGACTCTCTCTGTCACTTCTCTCCTCTCCTCTCCTTTTCTCTTCTCTTTTTTCTTCTTCTTTTTCTTCTTCTTCTTCTTCTTCTTCTTCTTCTTCTTCTGCTTCTGCGAGTTATGGAAAAGGAAAAAGAAAAGAAAAGAAAAGAAAAGATGCCAAAACAATGTCGTTTTGGAATTTCGGGCCACTTGAGCCTATGATATTTCGAGTTACATAGCAGGACTGATTTTGTTATAGTTGAGTAGATGTGTATGAGAAAAAAAGTGATTGAGTAAGGGGGAGGAGAGAGAGAGAGAGAGAAAAGTGATTGTTTGATATATAATAGAGAGAGAAGTAATTTTAATTTTTTTTTGAAAAAATTTATAACCAAACATATTTTTAGAAATTTTCAAATTCAAGTCAATTTTCAAAAAAGAAAAAGAAAAAGAAAAATTAATATTGAACACAAGTTACAAACATGACATGATGGCTGCCAGTCTGCACAGTGTCGTGTAATCATACTGTCACGGGTTATAATAAGGGTTGTCAATTTACCCATTTTTATATTATTTATTTTCACATTTTTTTCATAAAAAGTCAAAAAGTTCATCCTAAATTAGGGGTTGTTTGGGGTGTCCTAAATAAGTGCACTTTTTGTTGTTTTAGACTAAAAAGTTGAGGAAAAAAATATGAATGTTTGGGTTAACTTTTTGATTTTTTACAAAAAAATGTGTATTAAAAAATTGTATAAATAAGTGTATAGGAGAAGTTAGTGATGTAATTCGTACAGTCTAGAGCAGTGGGTGGATTAAGAGATAGGAAATGATTGTCTCCTTTTTTGGGCTTGAATTGGACGGTATTGTTTGGCCCTTCAGGGCCCACCATGGGTCCTGTTTTGCTAATCGGAACCATTCAATGTGTAGAACTTGTCGAGTAATATATGCTTGTAAAAAATCACGGTGATCGGATATCGATAGCTATCTGATCGTGTTAGTTTTTTGTCAACCGTTAACTATAACACTATCCATTTTTTATACAAAACTCATTTGATCATATAGTTAGCAATATCCGATCAACATGATTGTTGCAAGCATATAGTACTCGACGAGTTCTACATATTGAACGATTCAGATTATCAAAACGAGACTCGTGATGGGCCCCCACTAGCCCAACATTACTCTCCAATTTAATGAATATATATACCTAATTTTCTTTTTTTTCCTTTGACAGCCCACTTCCATCAGTTCAGTACTAGTCATGTCAACAGATTGATTTGTATTAAAATATTATGTAAATTAATTTTTTTTATATTTTTAATTTATGAATAGTGATAACTTTTTAACTTTTTTAGTAACTTTTTGTAGGTGTTTGGGAAGTGGGTTTTTATGTAGGTTTTTAGTTGTAGGATATTATTGGATAAAAAAATTTTAGTGTTTAGGAAGATAATTGATTTTTTTTGTAGTTTGATATGATGTTTGTGAGAGAAAAAGTAAAATGATTATAGAGTTGGATATGATATTTTGTTTGGATTTGCTTTTTTTTTATTTTGCAAAAAAATTGTCTTTTAGTGTAAAAAATTAAAAAAAAAAACCCAACCCACAAACTTCCCAAACACCACCTTAACTTTTTGGATTTTTTTTAAGATGCCAAACCAGGCCTAATTTTTTTTAGTTCATATTTTAGTCAAAAAATCAAAAGTTACTAAGGGCTTGTTTGGGGTGTCCTAAATAAGTGTACTTTTTGTCTTTTTAGACTAAAAATTTGAGAAAAAAAAGATAGTTGTTTGGAATAAATTTTTAACTTTTTATAAAAAGTTGTGTAATATAATATTAGTTAACATGGTAAAATGACTGTTTTACCCATCCTAACTGACACACAATCTCATGCGTACGTGTCACCGTTGGGAAGCGTGACTGTAGGTCTGTGGTGACAATCACTGTGCAACGTATAATTTTAAATATTTTTTTTCATTTCTTTCAACACTGTGCAACGGTCAAAGCAACTGATTTTTTTTCTTTATTCATAATTTGTCTTATATCATGCTTTTCCTTTTGTCATTAATTTTTTTTTCCGTTGCAGTCAATTTTTTTTTTCTTCTTTTCCTTAACATTTTTGTTTTTATTAATTTCCATTTTAAAAGAATGTATTTTTTTAATTCTTTTCCTTTTATCATTATTATTTGTTTCTTTCCTTTTTTATTCATTTTTTTTTTTTTTTGCATTCTTTTCCTTTTAACATAATTTTTTTTTCATCCTGTAGTCGGTACTTGTCCTTTTAACATTATTATTTTTTTTGTTTTCATTTTTTTATTCAATTTTTTTTCCATTCTTTTCGTTATAATTTTTGTTTTCTTTCTTTTCCTTTGTTGTGAATATTTCTTTTTCATTCTTTTCCTTTTTTTTTTCTTCTCCTTTTCACATTTATATTTTATTTTTTATTCTTTTCCTTTTAATATTATTAATTTGGGTTTATTATTTTCCTTTTTTTGTCATTTTTTTGTATTCTTTTCTTTTTACGTGTAAATTTTTGTTGATTGTTTTCATTTTTTATTCATTACTTTTTTTTCTTTTCCTTTTAATTTTTTTTTTAAAATTCTTTTCTTTTCACTTTTATTGTTTTCGTTTTAACAAATTTGGTTTCGTTCTTTTTTTTATTGCTTTTTTTGTAATTTTTTTTATTCTTTTCCTTTTTTATTATGCCCAGTGCTGTTCTAAGTTGTTCAACCAAGTTTTTTTATTTTATTCTTTTCATTTCGTTTTCAATAGTGTTTTTTGGACATATGTAGCATAAAATTGGATACAAAACTTTATCAACTTCCTGCTGTGAAGTATTACAAATTTAGAAATACAAAACACATTAACAAACCATGATAATAATCTTTTTTGAATCTGAGTTACACACATTATAAATTTAACCAACATTAATGTTTCAATTATTCGTGTTCAGTTGCTGGGCTAGTTGGTACGTAATGTTCGCTCGTACAACTGTCATTGCGGGGTCGGAGTCCCCTCCCTCAATCACATCTGCAACCCGTGCGTATTCATCGTGGTCGGGCATTTCGGGAGCCACGTATTCGGTGCTATTTGCGATAGGAACTGTGACCTCATCAATTTCACTGTTTCGGCGTATGAAGTTATGTAACGCCATCGACGCACACACGAAGATCACTTGAATAGAGAAACTCAACTTCTGAATATTCCGTAATGCCCCCCACCTCGACTTCCATGCACCGAATGTCCTCTCGATATAACTACGCAATGACGAATGTGCCTTATTGAATAGTTCGAACTCATTTTGTGGTCTTCGATTTCGATGAGCATTTTGGTGATACCTATATCCCTTGTATGGGGCTAGGTACCCTGTCTTATTGCTGTAGCCGCTATCCACCAAGTAGTATTTTCCTACAACGAACATTTTTTTACAAACAAGTTCTTTGAGAAAAATAATTTTGCGTCAATTTTTTTTTTACATGATATTATCTATTTTTGGTAAGTTCTCAATTACGATAGCAAGTACTAATGTGTAATTTGTCTTATATTATTTTCAGATTATACTACTTTGTTACGTAAGATATACTTTTACCAGGTGCGGGGTGCGGGAAGCGATGTTTAGGTTCGGTTGTCACGTAGTGCAGCACCCTACTGTCGTGCATGCTCCCGTCCCAACCGGCTGACACAAACGTGAAGCACAAATCGAAGTCACATACGGCCAGTATGTTCTGTGTTGGGACGCCTTTCCGGCCGTAATACGAAGTGGTGTACTCTTCCGAGACACGAGCCATCACGTGCGTGCCATCTAGTGCACCGATGCAGTCCTACACAACGCACCATTACGCAGAATATATAAATAAAAATTCATGGTATATGTCGCCACTGTGATATTTAAAATTATGTGAAACAGTCTCACCTTGAATGGCCGGTATCGCCGTTGCGATTGTAATTGTGGGTGGCCCCCCTGTTGCACTTGCTCAGGCGTAAGACTCCTACTATGAACCGCTATGAACGGTATCATAACTTTCAAAACCTCATGGAAATGCCGTGACAATGTCTCCTTCGAGTGTTGGAACCGTTCTTGCAAATCTTTCAACTTCATTCCCTGCAATGCACAAATGAAAATGGCTACCTTCTCTTCTAGCGGAACGCCATGCTCCAGCTGTAGTTGTGACGCCCCAATTTTTTTTTTTTATAGATCGGGAAGGGAAATTAAATAAACTAAAATAGACTTAATAAACTAGAAGATTGTGACATCTTAATAGGTAATCCACTTCTTGTACATAACCAATGTCAAATAACAAAGATAAAAACTTAAAAATGTATCCAAATACAAACATAAATGAATTATAACGTCCTTTTAATAGGCTATTATACTAAAAGTAATATAATTTATTCGGCTCTACTCAAGGTTTCAGGTACAGAGGGGCTCCTACGTTAGCGTGCGACTGGCCATTTCAGCTTCAATTTAAAGTGTTTCGCGCCAAGACCTGACGATAAAGCCAAGGCAACAAAATATATGCATGAGTTTTGCAAACACAGTAAGGAAACATAACCAACCTACCATTCTTTTTAAGAAAAAAATAATGAAGATTATAAAGCACTGAGATAATAATATAATTGTAAACATGAATTACAAACCATTAAAATAATTTCATAATTTAATAAATTAGGCGACACTTGAAATCTCACCAAAGGAGAATTGAACTCACCAACCACTAAAGCCATGGCAACGGTTTAATTTGAAACCTCCCTTGGTCAAATAGGGTTAAGTGTTACCACCGTAACTACCAGGGGATGCCCACGTCGCGAAGTTATATACCCAAGTAGTAGCATCCGGGGTCCTGCCCGCAAGGAAGAGCGGGCGGTCTGGCCAGGGGTACGTAACCTCTGTGTGCCGGTGGCACATCCACACTTATCCAAAACCAAAATATCGCGAAAGGGTTCAAATAAGTTCCCGTGCCATCTAGATTCGCAACACAATTTACGTGCGAATTCCTCAAAACCAGGGCTCACCCTGAACAACTGGTAATTAACCGTCAAGGGCCCTTGATTTCATACAATCTTTTAAACCAAAGACTCACTCTGAAACTGGTATTAAACTCGTCAATTGTTAACTTTGTATATGCCTTTAATCCTTTCAGTTATTTTGATATTAATCACAATAATTCAATTTTTTAATCACAAATAATGTTATATTCCCAACTCATTAAAATCGAACACAAATATACACATGTCACACAAATAATAAACAATTGGGTACAAAATTTAAATAAACAATTCATTTAAAATCATGTTCCAATTGTCCAAATTTAGTTTTAATTCATCTTAGTAACATCAACCCACAATTCTAAAATATAAATTAGACTTCCCAACCTCTTGAAATTCCATGATGTATATAATACAAATAGATCCAATCTTACTATTAATAACAAAATCAACTTAATTCAATTCTTAACCAAATACTTGATTTATAATCATGGGTGTTCTAAAATGTATCTAAATTGAATAAAATTCTTAAATTGCATCACATGCGTGGATTAAATAAAAATCTAATTATAAAATCAAAACTTTAGGATTAATTCCAAATTTCCATAAACTTGACTTTCTTAAAACATTTCCTTCATCTCTTCAAAAAGAACTTGAATGACTCAATTTCATATAAGACAAATAAATTCAAACCCAAAAGGGTTATTTTCAAATTAACTTCTATAATTTTGAATCTAATTCAATTCTACACCATTTTTCTAATTCCTTTTTATGTACATGAAATTGAAGTTATATGACCCTTAAGAAAATATTTGCATGTATGACATTAAGATTAAAACTAATTAATTCTTCTATATTCAAAATTAAACCCATAAACTTGATTTTTTTTTCTTTAATAAAATTTCTTCCTTTTTTTCTTCAAAACATGAAATCGTTTACCTTAAATTCCTCAAAATCCATAATGCATGTATAAAACGCTTATCAAATCCAACCAAATTTTACATCATCAAGCTCAATTTATAATTTGACTTCTTAATTTATATCACAATTTAATCCCAAGCTCATAAACTTTAAAATATGAATTAATTTCTAAAATCTTGAAAACTTACCATGCATGCAATGATAAACTTCAAATATGTGAAGGATGAAGAAAATCAAACTCAAATATTTAATCTCAACATATATTTCTTAATAATTAATTTCTACTTTATTTTCCATGATCATCCACATGCATGTAACCCATTTCATGTTTAGAACCCAATTTCCTTCATATCTAACCCAATTTTAAACTTATCAATCTTTTACACATGAATTAAATCTAAAACCTTGAAAGTCCAACATGCATGCAAGGATGAATTTCAAGTTTGTGAAGAATAATAGAAATCAAACTCTAACTACTTAATTTCCAAATATATTTCCATGATCTTAACACATAATTCAAAATTTCTTCATCTTCTTGCTAATTCCTATTAATTACATGATTTTGAGTCCAATTCCATCCTTAATTTCAAGTGTGATACAAGAATTCTACAACAATCAAGGTTAAAATCCTTACCTTTAACCTCCCATAACTGAATTTCTTTTTAATTCCTTGAGTCCTCTCCTTTATCTTCATGTAGACCTCATAAACTCATTCCTCCAAAGTTTCTTCCAGCATAAGAGTTGGGCCTCTCTCTCTCTCTCTCTCTCTCTCTCTCTCTCTCTCTCCCGTGCACTCTCTCTAATTTGACTCCAGCAAAAACAAAGCTTTGTGACTCCATTCTTCATCTTTTATTTTATTATTTTATTTATCAATTTAGTGGGACACTTGTCCACATAATATGAATCCATGTTTCATTAGCTTGACACACTAATCACACTTGATTTCCAGCACATCACATACACACACACGTGCACTCATCTAAGGCTCCCAACACAACACTCTCACATGCACACACTAACAGATGTCTTTGTACTCACACTTTATTTTCAGTACACCCACACCCACATGCACTCTCAAATTTTTAAGCCATTATACTAATTAATTTAATTGAGCAATACCTAATCTAAATGAACCTTGATTGACACAAAATTAATTAATTATTACTAATCTTAAATCCCACCTAATTTAATTAGTCTAATTGACTTTTATTAGAGTTTGATTAAATATATTATTATTATTATTATTATTTTATTTTATTTTTTATAAAAATACAGGATTTTTCAGTTTAAAAATATACAAACTGTTAAATTCAAAATATTGTGAATAATTACTTAAGAAAATTGAATATATATTATTTTTATTATACAAAAATATGGGGTTTCACAGCGGCAGTGTCAATCCGAAACTATGAAGAGTGTCGCATAACATCAAGAACACTGGTTTGGACATGCTGACAGCATCTTCAAACCGGCCTTGGTGACCGTTAAATAACTCATACATCCATAAACGTCCTGTAAGTATGGATGTATTTCGAGGCACTTTGTGATAATAGTTGTAGTAATATGTAGCTACACTGTTATACGCCTTTAGGAAGTTGTGATCAGTTTCGACCACCATTTCCCGTGCAATTTCATCGATAGCTTCCCGGGCTGCATTACTGGGCACAGTGTAACTAGGACCTGCGTCGTCTGCCATTTTGGAAACCTATAACGCAGAATATATAGAGCCAAGCTGGTTTACCAAAATCTGACTTCGCAAGTACGAGGCTGCTTACCAAGAAAATTATTACGACTTTGGACAATGAAAGAAGCAGATTGGGGCGAGGGTAAGAAAGGAGACAACCACACTGATTTGTGGTGTTCTCTAAAGAAATGAATGATGAGATGAGCAAAGATTGTGGTGAGACCTTTGAAGCTAACATGTCAACTGATTTGTGGTCTTATATAAAGAAATCAAAGATGAGCATGCGCAAAGATTGGGGTGGGACCTTTGAAACCAAAATTTCAACAAACCAACAAAAACGGATTCTCTTCTTTGAAACCAAAAAATTGAGCATGCGTAAAAAAGGATTCTCTTCTTGGAAACCAAGATTGTGGTGGGTCCGTTGAGACCAAAATTTCAACAACTTCACGTGGTGTCCATGCAAATTGGGCAACACACAAATTATTGGGGGCTTCAACAAAAAGGGGTTCTCTTCTTTTTGGTAATAGATACCAAATTATTGGTGTATATGAAACTGTGTGCTGGGCTGACAAAACATGTAAGAAAAACAAAAACCAATCCTCACTTGTCATTTTTTCATCACCCAGTTTAATAAAAATGGAGTATTCATTATAATATAAATAAATAGATAAAAACAAAACAACGGTTCGAATATCGTCCTTATATTTTTAACAACAAAAATTGAAAATTAGTGATAAATTATTACCATTTTTTGACCAAATTTTTTGTCTCAAAAAGTAAAAATTTTTTAGACCAAATTATTTTGTCCCAAAAAATCTATTTATTAATAACCTTTAAAAAATTGTCCCTAAAAGTCTTGTTTTTATTTTTCAGGACGACCCTAAAAATTATAAATTTAATTATTAATATGTATAAAAATTTTCGTTATTTTAATTTAATTTTTTTAAAAAGTAACCTAATGTGTAATCAACTAATTTCGTGCACTTCCTACCAAAACTAGTGACTTGTTTTTATGGAGGTTGTTTCCTCGCCTAATCAAAAGGAATAAAAAAATTACTCAAACTGATTTGAAACCAGTATATTATATTTGATTTGATTAATTTTGATTGAGATATCAAATATTACGTTTTCACAATTTCAAACCATTACATTATGTATTTGATTTGAATAATTTTAACTGAGATTTAAAATTTTACTTTTTCACTTTGTAATATGATAGATTTTAATACGAACTTTACAACTCTTTAGCAAGAAAGGTGAAGGTGAATCTCACCTCGTGTGATAAAATTATATCTGATTGATTAAAATTTTTGTTATTAATTTAACAAATTATAGATGGATGAGATTGACAAAGTGGTCCGAACCACCAAAAATGAACTCATCCAAAAGGGCCGATAGAATGTATTTGTCATCACCATCACTGAAGTGACCAAAAATGAACTCATCCAAAATGGTCTATAGATAATGTATTTATGTTTCATCAAAAAGAAATGATAATAAACCTATTTGGCAGCAACAAGCATATACTA